CTATATCGTAATCTACTGACATTAGTTCAATATTTCAATGAGAACCATCGAAGTCTTTGTTTATGTTTTTTATATTTCATTTGCATATTTAATGAATACATATCTAGCTCTATCACAAGCAGCTAAGATTGAAGATACATAACTAAGCCCGTAGAAGACCTATGGAAATAACGTTTAACAGTTAATCAGATTCCTCATATCCAGATATCAAGTTAGGATATAGCTTAGAAGAGAAAGAATTATCAGGTAACAGCTTAGAAGAGAAAGAACTATGTACTAACTGTCTACGTTTCTTTAAAGTTATTTAATCATACCGATAATTCTTATATATAACTGTGTGCATATATTTGTCTACTGGCAGTACTTGCAGTGCCTTAACTGCCCATTTTGTGGCTCCTTTATGGGACTATTCTTTTAGTATCGCATCGTCGACCAGTCGCAATGGCTTTTTTATGCCACATGTTGCCTATTTCTGTTTCCAGGCCATTGAAAACACCTGACGTTGTGGCTGTGCTGTGCTGGCACGGCTAATAAAAAGAACACAATAATAATAATAAAAAAAAAACAAAACAAATATGTGCTTCGATCTAACAAACCCCCAATGGCAGTTTTATATACTGCCAGTCACTCCATTTGTGGGGAATGGTGCGAAAAAAAAAACAGAAAAACGAAAAGGGAACAAATGCTTTTATGTCGCTTTTGTTGGCTTCTAATTGATTTAAACTTTTTAGAAGAGCAACAAGAAAGGCGAACATATTGCTATAATTGCCAGTGCATGTAAATCCAAAGATTAGTAGCTATCATGGCCAGAGCTATAGCTACCGAGCAACAACTTTTCGCTCCCCCATGGCAGTCAGCTTGTTTGCACAGACAATTCGCTTCCTGCCTCCGACTCTGGCTGTGTTCTTTTTGTTTTTGACAATTTTAAACCCACCCAGATTTATATATATGAGCCAGTATAGAATTCTACATGGTAATCCTTTTGTATACATTTGATAAATTTTATTGCCCCGCTATTATTGCAGTCAAATGTTTCCCTTCTCCAGTCATCTATCTGTCAGTCTCTCTGTCCGTCTGTCTGTTTGACTGCCACCCCTTGCAGTGTCTGGGACGCGATCTCATGATCATTAATTCTCGTGCGGTTTCTAATTCATTGAACAACCCTCGACTTTATACACATATACGTATATACTCGTATACGAATATAGTATATGCTGACAAATTGCCTGGCATTGTTTTGCATTTTAGTGTGCGGGGGGTATGGGCATTATTACAACATTTACCGCACAAAAAAGGACGAGAAGCGGGATAGAAGTCAATGTGCCCGAAGGGGGAAGGATGGCGAGCCTTTTGTCATCATCATCATCATATAATGGACCATAAAACAAACTGTATCAATATTTTATGCATTTTCTGGCTCTCTACGCGCAACACATGTTTAGATTGACATAATTTCGCATCCTCGCCAGCCTCGCCAACCACTGGCTACCCCCTTTCCCCCTCAACTGTGGCAATGAGTGGCGCAGCTAATTTCGTGATAGGAAAACTTTCAGTGTCAAGTGTAAATTTCTTGGCATATGCGCTGCTGAGGAAATTTGCATAGAAAAACCATGAAATATGCGCGACGTGTAAATTTGTCAGCACACTGTGTGGAAACTTCGGCTGGCAGATGTTTTTTATTTGCCAACTAATTGCATTTTTATGACAAAAAGAGCGCGCGTCCGGATAGGGGCAACAGCATTTGCAATTTGATTGATAAACTAAATGCTAAGTGCCTAATGCCCCTTAGCCCCTTTTGCCGGCTGTTCAATTAACGCCCCAGAGCCAAATGCTGATCAAGTCAAGTCATCCTCAGGCAACCGAGTCATCGATCATCGGCAATATAAAAATATGCCTATGCGCCTATCTTTCCTTTCTCATTCTTTTTTTTTTTTTAATGCTCTCTATGCTACTGTTTTGTGAGCTCAGCAGCGACTTCTTGACAATCTGACAGACGACTGACAGTCACTACAAATAGATATCATGGCATAACGAGTATGCGGCACGCATATTTACCGCTTGGCGCCACTTACAACTTGAATTGTTTACCAACTATCGTTTACAAACAATTACAACTGTTATGCGGTGCTTGAGTTGTAGGTAAAGATACAATATCTAAACATACACTATATGAGGCCTGCTCTACCATATCTCCAATGCAGATGGCAGTCGTTATTGTCGTGCATTCTGCGTGCATACAAGTAGATCGCTTGTCAATAGCTTAGGCAGTATCAGTAACCGATATTATCCAAATATTGCGCAATGCCGATTGGCAAGACAAGCCGATTGCTTGATGCCACACTGCTGCAAGCCACATTCTGGGTTTTCTTTTCATTTGTTTGCTCAACGTGCTCATACAAGTATCTATGGGATTTTCTTACACGTGGCAAGAAAAACTCGATGCGAAAAAATGTGCTTAATTTCTTCCGCAAATTGGAAAAACTGATATTCTATTTGATTTGTGCATTCTGTAAATGCTTTCAATTAACCTCTATTAAAAGCTGCATATTTTTTATGCTAAATGCCATAAACTAACATTTGTTCATAATTTAGCAATTCCCTTTTGTTGGGAAGTATATTTTTACTTGATCTTTAAAATCACTTAGTCAACTTTTAAAATTCGATTCTTATTGCACTTTTGAAATAATATTGGAGGATATATAACTGAATTATAATAAGAAAATATCTGGTATTATTCTGTATTATTTTGTTAAAAAAGGGCTTGCATTTTTTTAGCCAACTTGTTTAAGCCCATCATATATTATGGTAGAAATATATCTTAGAAACATGACTATATTTTGTTGTTAATTATTCAGAACTACATTATTGAGGTAATAAGTTTAAGTCGATAATTATATTGAATTGCAATGAAAATGTGAAATAAATTACCCAGAAAATGTAAGCAAATTAGAAATATTTTGTGGGTACAAAAGTAGGTCTACTAGACTTCAATTTTCAGTCGAAATTCTTCAAGATTATATTTGCTATGACAATAGATATTCGAAATTCTAGCAATTTTCCTATTTTAAACATCATCAGATTATGTGCAATATTCTGCTTGATTGTGGAAGCGGAATATATCAAAGTCTTGTGCTCCTGTAGGGTTTTTTTATAGCTTAGAGTGCAGTTGAAAAAACTATATATTTTTGGTATTATGCAACTTTTTAGCGCATTTCCACAGAATGTTGGTCTTAAAAATGGGCAGTTTCTTAAGTAAAAGTATACTACAAGTATATAATATTTTCTTGAGATGAATATCATTTTAGATATAATTTCAATTGCAAAAAATAAAGCACAACAACGTCGAAGTTATTCTCTTCTAATGACAACGTCTCTCTCCACTCTTCACGCACGCTTAACACATTGTAGTGCCAACATTTACAGCCCGACTTGAGCCCGAGCCTCGAGCATGAGCATGAGCAAGAGCCTGAGCCTGAGCATGAGCTGATGCTGTAGAACGTGTGTACGTGTCTCTGAAAAGCCATAAAAACCGCTACAATATGCCAACGGCGGCGTCAAAATTTAGCGGCGATTGCCGCAGTGTCCAAACTTTTGTTAAAGGGCGCAAATGGCGGCTAACGGAATTTATGGCAACTTTACACGCAGAGCGAAGCTGCGTCGTCCACTGCAGTGAAGAGAGCTAAGCCCTGGTTGCTGTTGTTGTTGTTGCTGTTGTTGCTATTGCTGTTGGCGTTGGGGGGTCACACAATAAATTTACAGAGTTGCAACCGCAACTGCAGCAACAAAATGGCGCTGGAATTGGCGATGGTGGCGTGTTTGCCACTTAAGCCGCGCGAATTTCAAATACCATTGGGCGCTCTGCTAAAAAAAAGCCAGAATAGCGAACGAACATATTTACGAGTTGGCGCTGCATTTGTATATACGGATAATTGTTGTTGTTGCTGTTGCTGTTGCTGTTATTGCTTTTGCTGCGTGCTGTGGTTGCGATTACCGACGGCAATGTTTGCGGTCGCCGCTCTCGCCCATCCATGTAGAATACATACATACATCCTATGTGTGTATGTGTGTGCGTGTGTGTCGCTGTGGTTGTCGCGTAATATAATTTTGGCTGGGAGCCTCGCAGTAATTGCTGAATAATTGCCAATGCCAACGATGGCGCTGACTGTTTGCCATTTGCGGTTGCCTTCCAATTAATAACAAATTATGCGGTCGCATTTACAGACAAAGCAAACCGGGCCCATTTAAAATCCACCCAATCCCCAACCAACGGAATGTATTGGAAAACAAAGTAAGCATACTATAGTATATAACGATGCATTATTCTCTCTGTTTAAGGATTACTTGCAATGCATGGCATTCTTGAGAAGTGTTAAAGTTTTTGGAAGATGAAATACTTTTGTGCAAAAGATTAACGATCATTTTCAGATTAAAGTTCAATGCTGATTTCATCGACATAAAATAAATTAAAAATGTATTTAAATTATCACTGTTTGTCAAATAAAATGAAATAAATTTGATTATAAAAATAAAGATACCAAGTCAAAAAGTACAACAAATGTGTATATAAATTTCTATAAATGCTAACGAGTTGTAAGATCAAAATCAGAAACCATATTGTACGAATTCCATTCAGAAATATTAACCAGTAATTCTTGTTAAAAGATTTGGGAAACAATAAAAAGCACAAATTGTTCTAAGAACAAATATAAGAACTTGTTATTAAAGGAACTCTTCAAACAATGTTAGCTCGAATTGTTCTAAGAACAAATATAATAACTTGTTATTAAAGGAACTCTTCAAACAATGTTAGTTCGAATGAGAAGATTATTTTCAAATAATCCCATCTTTCTTTCCTTCTTTCTTTGTAACAAACAGAACTCGAACACAATCCCAAACAGTTTGCAAATATAGAATTCATTTATAACATATTCTTAAAAGAACCTTTCAAAATATTCCAAGACTTAAAGATATTAATATGGCAGATAGATTCAGCGACTTACCCTGACTCTGGCCTCCGTTAGATTTGTCCACATGGCGATTTCTTCGCGGGTCGACATGTCGGGATAGCGATTGCGACTGAAGGTGTGCTCCAACTCCTGCAACTGCTGGGATGTGAAGTGGGTGCGCTGACGCCTCTGGCGTTTGTTCTTCTTATCGTTCTTGGGCTCATCGGCGCTGGTTGTCATCGGCTCGTCGTGGCCGGAGTTTGATATGTTTTCTGTTTTGATTGTGGTCTCATTGACGCTGCGATTACCTGCAATTTAATGAGAGTACGAATAGAGGAGACATGTAATGTGTTTGTAAGGCAGTTATTGTTGGTGTTGTTTTGTTTTGTTTTGTGGCACGTCTGCGTTTGTCTATAGTTATCTGGTTTACATTTGATAAGCCTCCCGGCTAGCTCCCTACTAGAAACCGCCAGCTACTGTAACTGTCCAAGAACATACGAGTAGTCTGTAATTTCGCAATTGTAGTTATTATTTTTGTTGTCATCATTACTGTTGACAGACCCAACCATGGCGCCTTCCTTCCTCAATTCTCCAGCTCTCATTAGCGTTACTAATTGGCGTGCAACCTTCAAGTGACACAGACAGCTCCACAAAAACTTCAAACGTGCGCCGCTTGTAAACGGTAGCCCAATTTTATTTTCGACTGGTCTATCAGATTTACAACCCGTTAACGCTTGCTCGGTCATGTCATCGATCATGGCGGCGTTCCTTTGACTTTTTGCCCGTTAACCAAACAAAAACCAAATCGTTTGGCATATGAAATATAAGTATTATTTTTGGTTGTTCCCTGCTCCAACGACGACGACTACGACGACGACAACCGCGATGTTGTCGTCACGTCGCAAATCAAAGCATTCTAATCGGAAACTAAACGAAAGCGTTTGTGCACAACTTTTGCCGACAAAGGAAAACTAAAGCTAACGGCTGACCGTGCCTTCGGAAAATTGTTATAAATCACGTTTTCCTTATCAGTAATATTTTCGGTTATGATAAACCGTCAGCCACATACTCGTTCGTACCTTAGAACCTACGCACTAATATTTCTATTCATAATATTGTAGTATTTGTTGTATTTGTTACTACTTGTATATAATTTTGTTTGGTTACTCACCATCTTTGCGTTCACGACTCCGATTCGTTAACGTCGATGTGCTTGACGATGTCTGAAAGTTATTCAAATGTGTGCTATCCAAACTATTTGCTACGGCGGTCATGGAGCTATGACTATCACGAAAATCACCGGTTTCGGCCCAAACTGAAAAGAATAAGCCAGCAAGTGGCAACAAATATATACAAAAAATTTATGTTTTAACAAAAGTTGTATGCAAAAATAAATGGCTTTACTATATAGACGCTATACTTATACTCGTATGTGTGTGTGTGTGTGTGTGCAAAGGTAGCTGTTAGCCGCACGAGTGCGTCTACTTAAAATGCCATAAAATAGCCTCATAAAAGGATTTATGGGCCATTGCTCGACGACGCATCGTTGCCAGCCAGCTAGGGGCCAGTTTTGTAAATGGGCTTTTGGTTAAGTCGATTAAGGGTACAAGTGCAAAGGCTCTGTAGTGGTAGGAAAGGAGCAACTGCTGATACACAGACAGACCTTGGTAATTGTTTTAATGGAGCCGCCTCCTTGCAAACAAATTAATGAAAACTTTGCGATCAACCATAAAAAAAATGCGGAAAGGAGTTCGTGATTAAAGTAATTTGCATTATTCTCTTAAGCGAGTCAGCGGTAATGGGCCAAAATATATTTTTTTAAAAGATAATTTGCATAACAATAAAATTAAATCATTTGATACAACTTGTATTTAATAAATTGATTAACCAATTCAGCTTCAATGTAGATGTAGCAGTTCAGTTAAGAATATTGTTATTAATAAATTGTCTCTGATATAACTTCCAACGAAGTGGATCACAGCTTTTGTTTTGTTTTACAACTTTTTAAACACAAATTTGAAGTGCCTATTTTCATTAAAAAGATTGGTGTTGAGAATAAGTTTGTCTTTAAATGAAATATTTATTTTAATTATTGGAGGACAGAATTATTATTATTATTATTTATGTATTTATACATACACTCAAATTTTAATGATGAGAACTGATTTTATATTTGTAAACAGTGTTTAGGATTGCGAATTCATTTGAAATATACCCTTCAATTGAAACTAACCACGAAACTTCTTTAATATGTAAAGTAAATATGTAAAGTAAATGTGTTTGAACTTATGTTCGTTGTGGTTTTGCTAGCAACTATATTTTCTTAGATTATATTAGATTGACCTAGAATAAAAAGCAGTTTTAAAACATAACATTAAGTTATCCATAAACTGTACTTTCCGTACAATCACTATATATAAGACATCAATATATTTAAGAAAATTAGGAGTTGTGTGAACATTACGAAGAGGAGGGGTTTGTTTTAATATTCATCTTGCAGCATACTAGAAACTTGTCTACAACTTGTTCACTCAGGAATAAATGTTTGTTGCTGTTGGGTGATATTTGTATAATGCAATAAAAATATAAAATAAGTTTTATATGGCAATTAGTGCTCACAAATTTTAAAAATGTTTCTTTTTTATAACATTTGAAAGCCACTCGGGCTTAAATACTTGATCTTTATTCTGCTTGGCGACATAAGTGTCTTTTTATGACAACTATTTATTTTTTATTAATATAATTATTGCAGCACTTAATATTTTAAGATCTATGCGGCATAGTTTGCTCACAATTTTATTACCTTAATGATGATGCTTAATGTGCTTTGAATATTTTACTTACTATACTGGTATAAAAGGTAGCTAGCCTATATTGTGGATCCCCCATCTCATTAAGTTGTTGTCACCTACTCATTGGTTGCTATTTGTTTATATGCTGTTCTATCTGAGTCTGAAAATAGCTTCAAAGACTTTGTTGCTTTAAAATTTCCAAAATCAAATGACTCAATGCCTCATTTGAGTTGTTTGTCATATACTTGTATACTAATTGCGCTAGTTAGTCATGCCTAATTTTATATTAATTAGTTAGTCATTTGAATTTTTCCATAGCCATTTGTTAGATTTATGGGCAGGCAAATTGATTATTGGTTAGAGAAGGTGTGTGCCCATATGGCCTTTTGTGTGTGGCTTCCTGCCCCTGTAACTACTAAATCTTATTTTCGGTACCCTACTTCCTACACCTCGGACATAATTTATGTGATTTTCACATGTTGTCGCTTTTATGTGGTTTTTAAAGTGCGCGTCACCAGAAGTGGCGCAGCACCATCACCAATACCAACACCAACACCCGCAGCGACATTTTGGAAACAATTAGTAAATGCTGTGAATTTTAGTTGCAGTCGCGCTGTGCGCTGCATCCTTGGGTGTCATTAATTGGAAGATGTGCAGCGAGAATACGAGACCTTCAAGTGCCTCCCTCACTCAATAAGAGTGTGAGGGTGCGTGTGTGTGGGTTAATTTATGCCGCTGACGTCACGTTCATGTGCTGCAACGCATAATTATTGCCCAATAAGTATCCAAAATTTTTTTCTGGGGGAACATTTTTATTGATTTACCTCACATACCAAAGTGATTTTTAATAGCTACAAATGTTGCTCCCATTCTTAAAAATGAACGACACGAACAGTCCACCTATGTACAGTGATCGCCAAATCCAATTCAAACTCAAAATTGAAGAGTTAAACGAAGCAGAAGAGTCTATACTTTAAACGCGGCCCTTACCTAAAACATTTCTGGTTTCTTTCTAAAAGTAATATAAACTTAACAGGCATCATGCTAATTATTAAATATATTGAACTTCTTTGATAAGAAACGATACAATATATATATACATATATGTAGATAAAAAAAGCGTTTAGGTAGTTTTAATTGTGAAATTTTTATTATTTAAAACATTAGTTGAGAAAATATGAGTGACAATTGTATTTTATTCTAATAAACATTAAGATAAAAATTAATCTAGACATGTCGGTGTCGGTCCTTTCGTTTGTCTTTCCATCTGGATTTTAAAAACAGTTGAACCTGCATTGGCCAATCTTGGAATATAAACTCTCCTAGTTTCTAGGCATAATAAATCATTCTCTACCTTCATTTCTTTCAAATCGACCTATTATAAGAAATATAATTTGGAAACCAATTTTAAATCTTTGAAAGGAAAACTAAATATATCTTTTGTGTTAAATCTCATTTTCTTGATAATAATTTCTTATTTTGTATTTCATAAACCATTTCTCCACTCACAATTACAATCATTTTTAAGCACTACCTTCACATAGGGGCGACCACTGTGCCTGCTATAACATGCTAAATAGGTCGGGCTAGTAAAAATATTTTCCCATTCGAGCGTAGTGCGACACGCTCTAAAAAAAAATCAAACTCAAAGAAAAGCACGTAGCACAACGATTTTTATTTGTTTAAATATTTTTAACACAATTTCTATTTTCTTTTTATTTCGACTAATTTGCTGCTGATGGTCCCACATCTTGGCAGGTCGAAAATTCTTGTCGTCTGTCAATTGTTGTTGCTGCTGTTGACATTTGTCGCCGCAGTTGCTGTCACATGTGTTTTCCCAACTGCTTTACAATATTTCGTGATTTTTTCAAGGTTTCTGAGTGGCAAGTGCCAATAGCTGAGCCAAGTGGTGGGCGTGGGTGTTAACGTTTCTGTTGCTATTGCTGTTTCTCTTGCCGTCCAATTGCTGCTGTCGCTTGACTTGTCAAATCATTTGACAACAAGTGTCAGTGCGCTTTTGGTTTGGCATTACCGGAGCTAAGAGCTCGGCCGTTGTCTGTTGACCGTTGGACGTTGGCAGCGGCCATTTTTACAGAGGCGTTTAAGTAAACAAGACTGGCTAAACAAAAGTCAAAAGTAAACGAGGGGCGGCCCAAAAACGGTCAACTATTAATCATTCCCTGAATGACGACCACAAATGAAACTGTACAAATATTAAATATATAAATTTTTTTTTGCTAGAGCAATGATTTTGATTTTTATATGCCACCACGCAAATACATAGATACACACACACACGCACACACATTTTCCCATTTGTCGCATTCATTCATAAACATTTTCCACATTTCCACAAAAACTTTGACACACGACGCGGCGAGCAGCCGTCGCCGTCGTCAGAAAAAAAAAGTGCTGAGCAATAAATTACCAAAGCGAAAGGCAAGCAGGCAGCCAGGCTGGCAGGCAGGACCCTGTCAAGCCTCATGCAGCAGCAAAACAAACAAAGGATCGCATTGGGACAAACGTACGCCCCGAGTGCGCGTCCTTTGACACAACGAAGCAACAACAAAGACAGCAAAAAGAGGAGAGATTCGAACGTTTACTTGTAGCATTTTGTTGACCAAAAACAAACGATTAATGTGACAGTTGAATTAGGATGCTCACACAGGGATACACAGACAGTCTGACAGTTAGGGCGTTAGCCTCTTCCTGTTCCCGTTCCCATTCCCTCCCCCTCCCCATCCAGCAAACAAAAATTGGCAAAAGGTATAAATAAGGTTTTCATATATCTATCGTCCACCTTCCTGTCGTGCCCCACAGATGATTCTGTGCCTGATTCTGATGCTGATGCCGTTTCCTATTCGGATTCTGTTTGCTGCCGTATTTTGACAAGTTAGTTGCTTTTATTGTTCTTCAAATTAAACCACTCTGGGATATAAAAGGGTTAAATGCTCGTGTGCGGTTGCTGAAAATATATATTTTCTAATTTCACGCTACATTTGCTGGCCAAGGGGAAATGAAAATGGAAAAAAGTGTTAATGTGCGTCAGGTTTTTGGGCCATATGCTGCAAAAATATCTGACCTGGGATTGATAGTGCTATCCTTATAGCCAGCCCATTGAGCAGGTTTGGCTTATCATTCGATTAATTCAGAGTTGACTTTTTCGTTCAATCAGCTTCCTGTTTGACACATTCACGGACTTTGCAATGCTTCAGCAATATTATTTGTGCCCTTATAATTTTTTTTTTGATTTCGACTGAAACGCTGGTCATGAAAAGTCTCTTCAATATTTTATATTTGAATTTATAGCTATTCCTTTGTGATATTTCTTCCACATTTTATCGAATCAAATAAATAACAACAAATTATAAATAGAGAGTAAATAAATGTAAATAAAAAATAAATAAATAAAAATAATTACCTTAGATATTCAAATGAAAAACCTTTTCATTACCAACAAAACAATTATTTTTATTATAATAGCTTTCAATTCATTCAATTGGTAGTTTTGCCTTTTTTGCGT